TGCTCAGGGCTACGAGGTGAGGTCTCGTTTCGGTAAAACCGCAAGTTCTCCAAAACGCAAAGCTCACCCGCCGCGAGGGCAGGGGCTAGTAGATAGAGTCAATCTGGTGCGAATCGTACATTCTCCGTACGGAAGTGCACCTTCAGCACGCTCACAAACGGCAGCGTGGACGACAGGTCGAACTACTTCTTCGGAAAGAGTATGTCCTTCACTTTGCATTTTTTATCAATAGGACGCCTCGCGAAGAGCTGTTTTTTTTAGGCCTGAAGCGGGTTCGCGGCATCAGATATCGCAGTCGCAATGCTCTCAGGATCCACGACGGCAGGAATGACAGTTCGTTTCAATTCGGACGACATAGTGGCGAAATAATTAGTGTATCCCGTCCCGTCCTCATTCTTGAAGGCGTCCAACACGACATGGAGTTCATGCTTTCTTAGATTTTGTGTTATACCGGAGAAAGGACCGAAGGAAGAGGCAACAATACCAATAGGTTGCTTCCGCAGTAGGATGGTAATTGTGGTGAAGGTCGTGTGAAAGTCTAAGGTATCGCCAAGTATGTTCTGGGTATCCACAGTAATAAAACTTTTTGGTTACAGAGTGGATAGACATCATATACAGTTTATTTGTAGCCAATTAAATTTCTCAGCATATTTCTATCTTTTGTAAGGACTGATTTTTAGGGTTTCAAAACACTACGATTTTATAATAGAGTAATGATTTTCTTAAATAAATAAATATATATATATTAACAAAGAAAAATTGATATAGAAAGCACTTAAAAAAGGTATCTTTTTTGTTTACTCAAAATAGATAAATATATTTTGAAGTATCTTTATTGAGAAAAAGAATTCAAGTTAAAATAGTAAAGCAGTAAACATCAAGATGAAAAACACATAGTTCACAGGTTTGACAGCCTTTGCTATTTCATTCTGAGAATGCAGTTTTCACTGAATATTTATTTATTAGCGGTATCACTAGTCTTCCTTGTTTTAGCCTTTTTTATTAATTAAAAATAACATAGTGGACCACCTTTATAGTTCCCTGTCTAAACGAGAGATAATCACTTATGAATAATTCAGTCTTATTGTGGGATTAATTCATTAGTGTTAAATGCCATTGAGAAAATACTGTTTACTAGCTCATTCAATCTGCGTATTTACTATTGGCTGATATATTCTTATTTTATAATTCATAATTAATACGCTACAAAAGTCACATTATTAGTGAATTCCGAACTCAGAAGTAAGTAGACTTTTGCAAAAGCAAAGCGAAATAACAATAATGAAGAACTAATGAAATAGACAAGTGAGTTAGAAAAAGCGAGATTTCAAATTTACCAGTTTAGGATTCTCACATAAAATCGTCGTCAAAATCAAAGTCTTCATTTGTAGTAGTCTTTTTATCTTCTTCCTCATCCTTTTTTTCATGATCTCGTAGCGCCATTACATCTATTTTATACCGCAACACACCGCCGATTCCACCGAAACCTCGAACAAACTGTGTACCCTCTTGGCTACGGTTACTAATCAATTCTAGTGTGCATCCAAATTTTTGATAGTTCAGTGTTAGCCATTCAACAAAGTCTTCTTTCGAGATTTCATTTTGTGTCTTTCCTGCCTCATGAACATGAATGTTTTTTTCATTGGCTTCTTTTTCGGTGAGCATATGCACCTCCACTTCTTCGTTGTCAGATCCCTTGTTTTTGGTGACCACGTAGCGGTTCATCGCGAGATCCTCGTAGCATATGAGTGTCTCCACGGCACCCGCCTCCAGGCAGCGCATGGTGTCATTGACGCCAAAGCAATACTGCTGCGTATCTCGTGCAATCTGGTCAAAGAAACTCTGCAGAAGCTTCTTCTCCTGAACCAGTTTAACATTCGAAAGGGCATCCGAGG